GGCTTGATGCTATGCAGGCTTAATCGGAGGCTGCAGTGTCTTGGATGTAGGTAAGCTTGGTGGTAGGCTGGTTTGGGAGACTGATCCTTGGTTGCAGGTGTCTTCTGGCCATATTTGTAGGTGTCTTCTGTACCTTGGTTGCGGCGTCTTCTGGCCATGTTTGTAGGTGTCTCCTGTTCTTTGGTTGCGGTGTCCTCCGTTCCTTGTTGGCGAGACTGCTGTCTGGTTCTGTGCATATCCTGGTGCACTCTTGATCTCTGCTTCGGAGGTCGTAATTATCTTTATTTATAGTAACTACGTAATACTTAATGGTGAGTCTTTATTACAAAGATTATTTCTATGCAAACGCAATGCTAACAGGCTTTACATCAATTTAGACAAGCTGCTGGCAGCATATACCCATGGAAGAAGGAAGAGAGAACATATCTAGTGCTATAAAAAGGATCAACCATAGCTGACTCTACAATAGTGAAAAATCCAAAGTGCCAAATTTCAAAGCATCAAGTGCAAAGTCCAAATCATACAGTACAAAGTAAAAAGCACAAAGTACAAAGTACAAAGTACACCGTACACAGTACAAAGTGCAAAATACAAAGTACAAAATACAAAATACAAAATACAAAAGGCAAAGCACAAAGCACAAAGCAAGAAAAAAGGCACAAAGGACAAATCACAAGTCTCAAATCTTAAACTACAAAGTTCAGACTTCAAAGTCAAACATCAAACCTCAGTGCATTAAGAAGCAAAACGGTTATCCTAAGCAAGTATGGCTGTTTCAGATAAAGTGAGTTTATAACCTAAATATGAAGCAATTTGGCTTACCACATAACTAAACAAATCTCTAAATCACAAGGTAGACGCGAATGACACATCGGCAAGATACCAAGCCAAAAAACCGGTTAATATTGGTATGAAGTCGTACAATTCATACAAGTCATGCATCCTCAAGCACTCTCAAATATCAAAGGCACTATCTTAATACCAAGCCAAAAAAACGGTTAAAATTGGTATGAAGAGATGAAGCCATACAATTCATTATCAAACGTTCTCAGTGATCATCTAAACCCACATTACAATACCAAGCCAAAATATGGTTAATATTGGTATAAAGTCGTGCGGCTCTTCATCAAGTCTTCTAACTCATTCGATCCTCTGTCAAAAACCAAGCCTAAATACGGTTAATATTGGTATAAAAGTTGAAAAGAGAAAATCAAATCGAAGACTTCTTTTATGATCCATTCCTTCTTCACAAGTCTATTTATATTTCGTAGTTCACTTCTTTCTGGCCCCATTTATTTTAGTATTTTTCCAATTCTGTTGCGAATAAATTTTGATCATAATTTTAAGTATGCTTTGTTTCATCTACTAGATGACAGGGTTGAGGGAATAGTAGCAGCCAAAATATATGTCGTTGTAGAAGTCTTTGATAGCAATGGTAGAGAAGTTTGGTTAAATGAGTCTTCATATTGAAACCTACTTGAAATACATCTAATCGTTTCCATGGTGATATTTTGTCATACATCTGTATCTAATATATATTCGACAACTAGAGGGGTGATAGTTGTCTCTGTTTTGTCAGTAGTATACGGCAAATATACTCAAAAACGGAAAAACGAACTCATTTTGTCATCAAGCAGACTTTAGCGTAAGAGGCAATTTAAGTTTACAGGGAGAGAAAAATCATTTTCATGAGTGATGTCCAGCATGTCGGCATCACAGGTACATCTTGCATCCCATTGCATTCCAGAAGCGAACTGTGTAGTTTTTTAGAATGGTTAGGATCGCCCTTTCTTTTCTGCAATTTTTTGGAGCGGACGAAAACATTGGCAACAGATCCACCAACCTCGGTATATACTATGTTGCAATGAGCGATCGATTTTGCGTATCCATTTGAAAAATGTATTTGGACGGTTGGTACTTTGCAGGTCAGGTAAAGTCAAATGCTGTCGCAGTGGTTGCCATGTTGAACTCGTTTCTCCTCACATGCACATCTTGAATGCGAAATGTAGATGTTTGCCATTCTCTTTACGTCTCTTATTTGCAAATTTTTGTAGTTCAAGGTTCGGAAGGTAAATGCCATTGATGGCAAATTCAGATATTGTCTGTGAGTCGTCTTCATACTTCTGCGAAGAACGACAGCCGATCACGAGCTTGTAATATTGTAGTTTAACTGGTCTGTTCTAGATGTGTGAGATATGCGAATTGGAGAGTATAAAACTGTCGCTAAAATTTCTGTAATTTATGATTTTTCAAACCACCGCGATTTCTAAGATTGATAGCATATGAACACATCGTTTCGCTGACCCAGGTAATTAACTGTTTAAGCAGTTTGCTATGCTATCTGATGGCCTAGCCGATATTATATCGTCAAATGCATAAAGGCAGGGAGTGAGATTCCGTTGCTTCTGTTTAAGTCTAAGCTTTGATGCGGAAGTACTTGGAGTCAGTCATATTGCAATGAATCTTTTGGCTATTACCTCATGTCATAGCAAACTTTATAAATTTATAATTCTAAGAGCAAACCAATGAGATCATTACAATCGATCGACCACGGAACTTGCAATCGAACATGTATATCGTATCGGCGCATTCCGTGCATCCAAAGTTGAAAAACGGCTGTTCGTCCTAGTATGTGTATCTCATACGAACTGGCCATTTCGTATCTTTTTAATGTAAGTCTTGCAATTGGAGTTGTTGTGAACAGTTCATTTGACAAGTATGCTATTAAGAGCGGATAAACATGCACATCATTCTTTCATGACCATGATCATGAAAGGGAAAGCCATGAAAATAGAAGTACAATGAATTGAACTATGAAAAAAGGACGCCTCAATAATAGTTGGATATATCTACGTCCAAATGAAAGTCATGGATGGTTGCCAGCATATTTCTGAACGATGACATCTGCGTTCCGTCATGATGCAGTAGCTTCTTTAACGTTGTCTTGCAGATAAGATATACCTATGGCCGCTATGTTGAAGGCAGTTATATTGGGAAACCAGTAATAGTTCATCCGAGAATTTATAGTCGAATTTTTTCCAAAGCAAGCATGCATTAACACTGCTTCGTTATTTGTTAGCATCAAATATATCGTGTTGGCAGTGATAGTTATCAGTATCAAAGCTACTTCTGAGCAGCCATTCGTTTCCTATCAAAATATACTTGTGTAAAGCATATTTGCAGTTCCTTTTCTTATGTGTCAATCATGCTTTAAATTAATGGCTTCCGAAGGATCACTTAGAGATATATACCTTAACACCTCGGAGTTTACATCAGCTCCCTTATTAAAATAAATTCTATACTTCAAGGTTGCAAATGTTGTTTGTAATGTCGATAAAATTGAGAAATGTACTTTTGCGTAGGGTCAGAGCTCGAGGCTGAAAATCAGGCACAGGGAGTTGTATTTAAAGCACCGACATCAAGGTAGCTAAATTGGAGAGGACTGCTTTTCATCTTGTGGCTTACTCACATTTTCCATTTTGCTGAGTTGGACCATTGTCAGTTCTTCAAGGCTAGAAACTCTGCATGTTGCTGAAACCCGAGATTTCAACTTCACAGGGCATCGCCAAGGCCTTAAAGGGTCCAGGTCTGTCATGTGGAGAAAAAATTGATACGGCAATGACCGCCTGGGAAATGTCTTCCATTTACTTTCCACACAAGGATGAATTTCTGCTTGACTGGTTGTCGTCTATGCTAGTCAAACCTCCAACAAAAAAGTAAGACTTTTACACATGCGATATTGGTTCTATAAGTGAAATAGAGACTTACGAGAATTTTCGTTTTCTTAGGAAAGAGGAAAACCCACAATTGGACGAAAGATATTGGAAGCTATTGCGCGACCTTCTTAGACATTATGTGAACTCGAAAGCCAGCGACCGCATACCAACTATTCGAGTGCCATTGATATTATCGTTCTCAGCAGCATTTCAAAATTTTCAGGAAACGAATGGTTGGGATGCTCAAAAGGTGGTATCACTTTACCGCTCCATCCAAGACTGCCTCCAGCTCTTGACGCAGCCTGCGCTCGCTTTTGCCTACAGGCCAGCAATGGATCAACTCTTTACAACGTTCGAAAACTTGATCTTAGTAATAGACGGTCAAATGCTTATCGATCGTTCTGAGAGTAATCAACTTCTGGTTGAACTTATCAGATCTGCAAATATCATCATCCCGAACTTAGAATCTCATATGCTCACATCTGCTAATCAACGAAAGGTGGGTCTTAACTTACTACAAGTCTAAATTCATATTGCAGACATATGTACTAACGCAAAAAAAAACTTGCAGACATTCTCAACTTTAACTGGAAAGTCTTTCCCTTCGATCATTCGAGTGTATTTCGGCGTGTCAAAAAGTGACGACCCTGCGTTTGTTGATGCCAAGAAGTCCTTGGATCAACTATTTCAAAACGGTCTTTTCCACGCCGATACCATCTTAGAATACCCTACTGTACTGCAGACGATCCTGAACAGTGACAATAGTGCGTCAAAAAATCAGAGCTATGTAAAGAAGCTGTTTGATGAATTAGCTCATTGCATCCGACAATCGCAACAACCTCAAGATGTGGAAGCGGGTACGTACACTAAGCATCGTATATTAATGTGGTTCATGGATTTACTAACTGAAACGATTGTGAAGCTTTGTATATCTTGTCGCCACTATTTGCTATGTTTGTTCAGTCATATCGAAAGAAGAGAAATGCAGTCACCATGTCGAATGTTCTGAAGAATGCATCATCCATGGATGTTAACCGTACTGTGGAATTCGGCTTTTTTCAAGTGATGTACAATATCCTTATAGACGCAACGGCTTGTCCGAACGCCAGCTTGGAATCCTTGAACAACTTGCTTCAAAATATGTTGGATATGAACATCTATCATGCGACTAATGACACTGTCGCAAAGGAGCAACATGCAGTTCTTTCTGCTGTCACAGATATGTTGTTTAGAGATTTGGCGGAGAAAGGTAATATATATTATGGATTGGGCGATGCCTATGCTAGTAGCGTTTATTGACGGATGGTTTTGTTTTTTCGTTGAGCAGAGCGACAAGGCACCATATTACGAGGACTTTGCTTGCTGTTAGAAATCAACGATAGTTTGATTGAGCAACATATGTCTGACCTATGGCCATTTATGTTAGATGTAAGGATCCAACTGATGCGATTGCTATGTACAGCGTACCCGAACTGACAATGTCTGTATTCCAGCCTATAGAAACTGCAGAAAAGGAATCTTGCGAACTGGCGAAGGCTATTCTCAATACGTTTGCAAAGTCAAGACAGATTGGTGAATATCTCCAAAGCTTTATAGAAGCTTTGAATGCCTACGGAGAAGACAAAATAGAGTATTTCCTACGAAAACCCATGTTCTCAAGAGAGTTTTTGAATGAGTAAGTGACATTCCAAAACTGCATGGAGTCAAATGTATACATGGTAACTGACGAAATGCCATTTTCAGATTCTCTACCTGTGTATATAACAATGTGCCACCCACGCAAGCGCTTTCAATCTTCCAAATTTTCATCGATCATATTTCACAAACGGCCATTACTGAGCAACCGTCGAAGAAGAGAAAGACATCTACTACTGAACATACGTCTTCGCAACGCTCTCACCGACTGGCGTTGGAGCTTCTTTGCCAATTTTTGCTCGCAATTCGCTTGACACCGCAACAAAAATTAGCGTTTTGTGATAGTTTGTCTCAGGTCGCCATCAACATCATTATGGAACGACTGAATATCAACAACGCCAGAGATGATATTCGGATGGCAATACCTGCTCTGCAATTGCACCAAGCGCTCCTCAATACATTTTCAGATATATACTTCAACTTATTGGACGCTGAGTTCAAGAACAAACTTTCATCATATCTTCATCAAATTACTGCAGTGTCCTCTAAGCAGTCGTCCAATATGTCTTTGACCGCATTCCTTTTCTCGGTAAGTCGATTTAAGAGTGCTCCAGTGCCCATTGTATATAAAACGCTGACCTTGCTATTAGATAAATGCCACTTTCCAATACGTATACTATTGTATGTTGAGCAACCTCAAACCATCCGCCGTCACTCTTGAGGACTTAACCAATGACGCTCTATCGATTGTTCTATCCAAAATTGCTACTAGTAGTACATGGAATGGCAGGATAATGGATTTGAACCAAGAAAATACCGGCACAGCTTGTTGGAAAATTCTCACTGAAGATTGGCTTCCAACCATCAGGTAAGCAGAAGTCCTTGGACTATATTACAGTCGCTTCCACTTAATAACTCTACATTTTTTCAACTGATAGTACATTGGTGTCGCCTCAGCATATGAATGATATTACTCGTATCGTGGTATCCCATATACATTCTCATGACCAAAAACCTGGTGAGATCAGTGTCCACGGTATCAACATGGTTCTTTTGCGATCAGCTGAATTCTACGAGTTGGTGAACCTGAGAGGTAATTTCTCTTCTGTGCAAGCTTCTGCACAAGCTTATCATCAAGACAGTACCTAATTGCTAACGAATTTCCAAACCAGTATGCACATTCAAGGTTCTTTTTGATGCATTCACATCCAACATTGCTTTGCTAGCCAAAGAGTCAAAGCATTCCGAAATGTTATACAGTTTAGCCGAGGCGCTTCAAGATAGTTCCCCCCGCATTCAGCCTTTAGTTCAGAAAGCGCTACCACTATTTCAAAGTTCAAACATGAAGCAGGCAAACACTGTGTCCTCTAATGGTGTCGTTTTGAACCTCTTCGTTCAACTCGAAAAGCTTCACCTGTTTCCTATGGAGTACTTCAACAAGTATCAGAGACAACATCTTCTATTGACCATGGTTCTGACCGAGCGCTTGTTCTCCATTGACGGCTCTGATATTTGCGAAAGAAACAGACTTGCTCTTTTATGCAGATCATTTGCCTACAAACTCATTCGCTACCGTGGAGAGGTTGGGTTTTTGGTAAGTCGAGATGATTATGTAACTTCTGGATGGCGATCAAGTAGCTAATCTTTCATTTTAGGTTGGAGATGCTGCCTTCTTACAGTGGTGGATCAGATCTGCAGCATCTTTGTATGTTGACGAAGGTACAAATACCATAGGTCATAGACTGTACCAAAACGTAGTAAAAACGACGGTACTCCTTGAAAAACTGTTGCTCAGGTATGTATGCTGCTTTTCGATCGCCCCAGAATCAATATATTAATGCCCATACTCTCTGTAGCAAATTGATTGAAGACGCAAACGCCGGCAACCAGACTTCCATTGATGCTATATCTTCGTGCAAGAGTGAACTGAAATCAATATTTTTGGAAGAGAAGCATAATACAAGTAACAATGCTCCCGTCCAATTAGACTTTATCATTGCCTTAGTGGCAGTCTTAAATGCTCAAAGAATGGCTCGAGCTAAACGGTACGTGCGAAATTGCTACACTGCATAAGATGAGAAACAAAACTAACAGAGTTACTTTCAATCTAGCAACCGAGAAGCCACACAGATCATACTAGACCTTGGTGACCTGCGAGATGAACTTTACAGTTATGTTATCAGCAACTGCCATAACTTGAAACAAACCATCTTGACCTTTATGGACGATAAAAAACCAACATCGGAAAACACTGTTGGCCATAGATTTATGAACACCTCCAAGTGTGTGATCTCATTTTCGCCGATTCTAGTTCTAAGCCATCAGCTGCTGAGACAGCATCATGCTAACATCAATGTTAAGGGTAACCACATAGACCTACATTATCATGGGATAATTCCAATGCAATGCAGTTGCTCACAAACTCTATCATTATAGATGACCAAATTAGCAAACTTCTTGTCCCTATCCTCAGCGTGATCTCACCTTGCCTAAAGTACCTTCAAATGTACATATCCACTCAACAGTCTTCTGAAGGGAAGGTTCTTGCAAAGCTCCTTGGTGTTTGCGGTGAGATGGCGATCACTCTTTGCTCTGCTGTTCCTGAACTGCAGAACAATGACGTTACTCAACGAGCGGTCGCATTTGTGTGGTATGTGTATGAGATCGCTCATAGCCATGGTAGGTACATTTTTTGGTTTGTTTCTCAAAGGAAGTCTACGTCTTAACCTTTCGAAAGTAGGCGAGGATGAATGCAAAAGCTTAGTTGACAAGGCATTCGGTGGCCTGATACCAACGTTATCACAAGAGCAATTTGTGGACGTGCTCCATTGCATAGTGCAAAAGTCTGGTTTAGAGTATCAGTCCGACGCACAAGCAGTACAAGACACTGTCAAAACCGAAACAGTTTTGCATTTCCTGTGGCTACTAATGAATAACTGCAGCCCTGGTGAGTGAAATGGTGAAAGTTCACAGTAAAGTAGACTATGAAATGTGCACTAACACCTTTTCTACTATAGACCAAAGAAAGCCTTTCCGGGAACAGATTTCCTCGGTCGTTATCATGATATCCAATGTCATGGAGAAAGCATTATCTCCTGGCGTATTGAAGCAATCCTTAAGACTCTTTGCCGACATTGCAAACGATCAAAGTATAGGGTTGAGATCTTACGATATTTCTCTTATGATTGCTGGAATAACGCAACTGCGATCACCCAACTTGCCTACAGCACTGAAGCAGGCTACCACTAAACAAGATGCCAACGATATATTTGAAGGCATCTTCAGAGTACTCTCTGGTATTTTGAAGAACAGAAGGCAGCAGCTTGTTCAAGTCATTACGCCGTTCACTGCTATCTTAGAAACATTGGTTCATTGTTTTAGATCTTTACATCCATCAGTGGCTATCTCTACCCGTAAACGAAAACAGGATAACAAGAAACGCATGCTGCAAGACCAAACGTTTTCATTATTGACCGATCATGCCCCCTTGAACGAAATGTGTGCACGTAGCTATGCACGTTTACTCGATAGCTTGGGCGATCAAAGTGCAACGAATACAGCTAATACAACTAATGGAAAAAGCCATAATTTGGCAAAGGCTTTCTCCAAGCACTCGCCTTACATCATTGCTGAATACTTGTCTGTTCAAGCCGACCCAATATCAACCATTTCCCTTCCGGCCCTCAAATCTGCGCTTAGACCAGGATTGTTTTCTTTATTAGATATCTGTGGTGAGCATGAGAGAGACATGCTCATGAGTGCTATCGATACGAGTCAGAAAATGCTGCTAAAGACGTTGTATGCAGACTGGGCCAAGACTCATCGCTACACTGGTCGTTAGGAGCTATATGTATATGTGTATTGTAAAGTCAACGACTCCTAACATTTTACTCAATAAACGAATCTGATTCGCTGTCACGGTGTCACCACGAGTATGGCGCACAAGAAAGGGAAGGGAAGGCTATAAAAACCAACCACGGCCAAAAGACACTTTTAATCTTTGAGCTTTTTCATCCAGTCCTTGGTAACCCTAACGCAACCTAGCGACTTTTAAACCCCCTTTGAACAAAGTAACTTTCACACTTATTCTAAATGCGCGAAGTCATTTCCATCCACGTCGGTGAGTTTTCGCATACCATTTTTTTTTTTTGTTCCATCTGACCTCATGTCACAACATCGTCGCTAATCATCTTGTTGGCTAACAGGTCAAGCTGGTGTCCAGATCGGTAACGCCTGCTGGGAACTCGTAAGTAAAATGATTTCCTAGCAAATACGCGTCTGTTTCATGTTTTTTAAACGTCTCCCCTCTTGACACAGTACTGCTTGGAGCACGGTATCAACCCTGATGGTCATCTCCCTGAAGGTGAAGGCAACGGTGATAACTCGTAATTATCAAATGCTCTTTTATGTCACTTCATTTTCCCCGTATTCCATGACTAAAACCTTCCTTTCTCTTCAGCTTCGATACTTTCTTCTCTGAGACCAGCAGCGGAAAGCACGTTCCCCGTACCGTCTTCGTCGATCTTGAACCCACTGTCGTTGATGAAGTCCGTACCGGTACCTACCGTCAACTTTTCCACCCTGAGCAATTGATCACTGGAAAGGAAGATGCTGCTAACAACTACGCTCGTGGTCACTACACCATTGGCAAGGAGCTCGTTGATGTTGTCTTGGACCGTATCCGCAGACTCGCTGATAACTGTACTGGTCTTCAAGGTTTCCTTGTCTTCCACTCCTTCGGTGGTGGTACCGGTTCCGGTTTCGGTGCTTTGCTTCTTGAACGTTTGTCTGTTGACTATGGCAAGAAGTCCAAGCTCGAGTTCTCCGTCTACCCCGCTCCTCAGGTGTCCACTGCCATCGTTGAGCCCTACAACTCCATCTTGACCACCCACACCACTCTTGAGCACTCTGATGTTGCTTTCATGGTTGATAACGAAGCTATCTACGATATCTGCCGTCGCAACTTGGATATTGAGCGTCCCACATACTCCAACTTGAACCGTTTGATCGCTCAAGTTGTTTCCTCCATCACTGCTTCCCTCCGTTTTGATGGTTCCCTCAACGTCGATTTGAACGAATTCCAGACCAACTTGGTCCCTTACCCCAGAATTCACTTCCCCTTGGTCACTTATGCTCCTATCATCTCTGCTGCCAAGGCTGGTCACGAGAACTTGTCTGTCTCTGAGATCACCAACTCTTGCTTCGAGCCCAACAACCAGATGGTTAAGTGCGATCCCCGTCACGGAAAGTACATGGCCTGCTGCTTGTTGTACCGTGGTGATGTTGTTCCCAAGGACACGTAAGTAGAGAGAGACAAATGAACCCTGCCTATATAACCATGACTGATGAATGCTTTTATTTTTTATTTTTATTTTAGCAATGCTGCTGTTGCTGCCATCAAGACCAAGAGAACCATTCAATTCGTTGACTGGTGCCCTACTGGTTTCAAGATTGGTATCAACTACCAAGCTCCCACCGTTGTTCCCAACGGTGATGTTGCCAAGGTCTCCCGTGCCGTCTGCATGTTGTCCAACACCACTGCCATTGCCGAAGCCTGGGCTCGTCTTGACCACAAGTTCGATCTCATGTATGCCAAGCGTGCTTTCGTCCACTGGTATGTCGGTGAAGGTATGGAGGAAGGTGAATTCTCTGAAGCTCGTGAGGATTTGGCTGCTCTTGAGAAGGATTACGAGGAAGTCGGTTCTGACTCCCTTGGCTACTCCGATGCCGAAGAAGTTGAGGAATACTAAATGCTCCGCTTCTGCTATGAGGACTCAATACTATGAGAATTTCCTCTGACCTTTTCATTTTTCTTTTTGCCAAGAAAAAGAATGAACAGAATAAAAATACCCTTTGGATATTTGTGAATTATGTTGACTTGTTTTTACAGAAAGAACGAACGGTGAATTATTTCGAGTGAGAAAAAAAAAATTTCGATCCTGTTTACCCTAGCACTGTGCTAGTATCGGACACCTCGCTATTTGCAAAGGGAACTTCTTTAATCGTAAAGCAGTTCATACTATGGAACAAAGTGATCCTATCCACTTACATGATATGGACGTCCAACGTACTGCGGGTCACAAGCAGTTCAAAATGGTATCCTGACACACTCCGTTGTTTTGTTGGCGTTACAGGAAACGTGATCAGCTTGAAAGCCTTTCTCAACAAGCTGTTGGATCAGAAAAAGTGACGAAAACGGTATATAGGTACACAAATTAGAAGTTGAAGCGTCTTGAGTAACATTCCTGAACCATGTCTGTTAACCGATACGAGGAACCTCCTGGGATATTTTTAGGGTCATGATCATATGTAAATTATTTACTTTGGATCAAGATGTGTATATGCTGGCCATTGACCTATGTATTGAAATGCGTTTGCATCCTCACTCTGTAGACTTGCAGGCATGTTTCGATGCTAGGCAGAGATCCAGGATTAAATCGATCCACACACCCACTATTTGATTTTTTATTTTATTTTGGGGGGAGGAGAGTGGCAAGAAAATTCAAAAATATTTTTTTTTTCTTTTGGGCATCAGCATCCGGCCACAGTGATTGTACTACCACACGATGAGTCGAATAGGCGCGATCCCATCCCCATATGACACCCAGAAATCACTGAATATCATTGAGATCTTCCTGGATTAAAGTGAAAATAAGCTCTGAGATCATAGACGATGATCATTGTAAAAGAAGGGTAACTTTCAATGGAAAATTAAAGTACGCCCCGAGGAAGTGACTACCTCTGTGGGGAGGTTTCACCAACACTTGAAGGCTTAACTCACCTCGTTCCCACTCGTCTGTTCCCCCACATTCACACCTAAATTCATTAGGTTGTCTTGCTAGAATTTCAGTCCTCGGTTGGGCACTGTTTTGGAAACCATGCCCAACACTTTTAATATTGCACCGTACATTGCAAAGGTCAGATGCTCGCTCACTCCGCCCCGCACTTTAACCAACTCCCCGATATTAATGCTGCATTCACTCCAATCTTTCAGTATGTGCGGGCATTACACGCCGACGAAGATGCTCCGGAGATCCCATATCGACAAACGCAATTTGGCGTTGTTCTCATGGTCGACGTCGTTGGTACGTAGTTGTCAACCTTGGATATGTCATCCGATGTGCAGCAGCAACTGATATCTTGATGACATACTTTTTGCAGGTTTTAGCACTGTATGTATTTTTGCCTCCTTCCTCGTCCTCTGACAGCAAAACGCTGTTGATCCTCGCCTTGGCATCTACTCTGCTAATTTAAATTACCCATGCTTTGATGTATACTTCCGCATATGATCCCCACTAATCTGGTTTTTTTTGTTTATTTTTTCCATCTCATTTAGTTGACGACACTCGCCACCCAACGAGGCGACTCTGGTGCCGAAGCTATTGCACTAGAAGTTGGAGGTTATATGGGAGAGGTAAAATTCATTCGTTCAATGGAGCAGATTTTTTTTTGGTTTTGCATGACTCAAACCTGGTATATGGTTTTTTCCAATAGTGCATTCGCATTATAGAATTTTACGGTGGTGATGTGGTCAAGGTATTGTTTATTTTTAAAATGTTTTGTTTGATGGATTGATTTCGGATGCCTAATACTTGGAACAGTTCTTGGGTGACGCCGTCTTGGTAAGCTTCCAGCCACACATGCAAGATGTAGCCACTCACGCTGCCCCAGACCCTCCAACCGACAATACCATACCTGCTGAATACGATGCTCGCACCAAAACTATTCTAGTACGCCGGGCTTTAGAATGTGGTTTACAGCTACTCACACGGTTATCGCATTACCGAGTGTATCTCACAGCCGAAGAGCGCTCCCGCCATCGCGACATTGACGATGAACTTGATGTTCGAATTACAGCCGATGCCGCTAATCACTTTTCTACACGCTCTCCCACCGCGAATGGTAAAGAAGACACTCGTCAACCTTCCATTTCCAGTCAGTCCAATTTGGGAATACCGCTGTTTAACAACTCCTATCCTGAGGAAACGTCCATGTCGTTTAGCATATGGAATATTCTTTCCTTTCTGCGACCCAAGCGCAAAATGCCGCTTGGATCACGACGAACCAGTATATCTAGCGATTCCTCCACTCGAGATTTGAATTCTGTCGATCTGGAACTCCATATCGCTTTAGCATGCGGAGATGTTACGAATATTGTGATTGGCGATGTTGGACACCAAGATTCTATCCAATATTCCTCCAGTTTGAGATCAGCTCGGGCCAGAAAACGAATATCACGTCTAGCTCGTATCGGCGAAGAAGGCTTCGAATATGCCGATAGTGATCGCATCGACGCGGATGAAGAACAATTGAAAACGCAACGAGATGGTCGTTTAGAGTACGCTATTTGCGGAGAAGCGGTTGAAGGCTTGGATGAAGCCTTATCGGTAGCAAAGGCAGGTGAAATGAGCATTACTCCACAAGCTTGGGAATTAATTAATCCCCAAACCCTGGATTTGAATTATGAAAAGCGACATGAATTCATGATTGTTCGCCAACCACCGGAAACCGCTAAGAAATCGTCCACCGGGAAGGCTGCTAACAAAGCCGGTACAGGTGCATCCACTCTCGCCGATCGAACATTAACATCTAATATCACGTCCAAGCTCAACCTAGAACCGCTTATACCCAAAGTTCGCAACACATCCTTCTTGGAAATTTCCACCGAAACCAATCCCCATTACTATAAATATCTGAACCGAAGCGCTTTACATCGGCTGCGACAAAGCGACGATGGTAACTTCCCTGCTCAATTCAGAGACGCCACTATCATGTTTATTTCTCTTGGCAAATTGAAGGTCTGGACGGACGAAGGTATAGTCCATGCCCAAACCGCCATGACACGAGCCATCAAATGCTTGGTGAAATATGAAGGTGAGTTCTAGAAGAGAAAGAACCCCGTCGCCTTTGCAGATCATTTTGCTAATGCTTCTATACCATATCAGGAATGCTGCAGCAGTTTGCAGTGGATGACAAAGGTTTGGAAGAATCAATTACCTGCTTAAATTGGAGTGCTGTTCTCAACTTTAACTTTATTAACTTTGACACTTCTTAGGTGCTACCATTCTGGCAGTGTTCGGTCTCCCTCCTCTGTCTCATGAACGTGAAGCGGTGTTTGCTGCAAAAGCTGCGGTTGAGTTAAGAGAAGAATATTTGGATGCCGGTTTCTCGGAATTCGCCATTTCTTTATCCACTGGACTCATCTTCAACGCTGTCTTACCTCAAGGAAATCCCTTCCGCCGCGATCCCGGTATATCCGGTGACACCATTGTCATGGCGGTCCGAATGTTGAAATTTGACTTTTCGTCACAACATGTTGTTTGCGATGCTCAAACGAAGCAACAAATTGGAGGTCTCTGCGAGTTTGAAGATATGGGTGAAAACTATGTCAAGGGCAAGGCCAAACCCATTCAGATCTATAGAATCATGCGTTTTGGAGATGAAAAGAACAAACGGATCACAGCACAAAGCATTGAGAAGTCAAGCGATTTCATTGGATACAAGCAAGAATTAGCCAAGGCAACCCAGTTTATAGATGAATGGAATGTAGCTAAGAATCAGCATGTTTTGATTGTCACTGGTCCGTCTGGAGTGGGTAAAAGTTACTTTTGCCAAGCCATTCATAAGCTTGTGATCGGCTACGGAGTACACACATGGTAAGCTCTCTATATTCGAATGTCCCAAAAAACAGCCCGATGGATAGGTTATTAACTGGGATTTCTTTTTTCTTTTCGCTCCCTTTTAGCTGGTCCACTGCAACCGAAGGTAAGAACCAACATAAGTTTTAGGCACATTACCATGTTTTTCCTAACCAATCATTCTTTTTTT